CACAGGGGGCGGAGCCTGGGCAGCCCGAAGCCGCGACATGGAGCCGGCACGTTATCGGCCCCGGATCTGGCAGGGGCTCGCTGTGCCCGCCTGCGCCGCCTGGGACCCCCCTCTGTCAAAATCAGCTGGTGGGAGCGGCCGCAGAGCCTGGGACCCGGGCCCGAGCCCGGGGGACAGCTGTAGGGATGCGGGCGGGGCTTGGGACCCGGGCTCCGAGAAGGGGACCCCCCCTGTGCACCCCCACCCACTCCCACTACGGAAGTTACTGTTTGGAACCAGAAAAGAGCGCACTAACTGCTACGGGGAACGGGGTCGACCCCCCACAGCCCAGGGACTCTCCTCCATGCTCCCGAGCACCGGAGCAAACTTTGGCGGGCCCGAGCATCCCTCGGGCCCGCAGCGCAGAGCACGCGGGGCCGGGAAGGAGAAGACGATCACCTTCACCGTCCCTGCGGCGCCGCGTGCCCGCACCCAGGCCGGCCGGGCATGCCGCAGTGGCCGGCCCGGCTGCGGGACGCGGCGCGCACCTAATAGGTGCGCGAGCTCCGGACCCCGGATTCCGTGGGCTGCGAGGGGAGGCTTTAGCGACTGCGACTGTGTGAACCATGGCTTCGGGATTAGGACGCTGGGAAAGTCAGCTGCACGAATCACCTTCCCCGCACAACCGCCACGTGCCTGGGGCAAAGGACTTCTGCTCTTTCGTCCTCTGGGAAACGAGAAAGCCGTGGGGTATGTGCCCACTGGCCACCCACCGGCTGCCTGTCTCCCTTCTGGCCGGAGAATCTGTCTCCCTCCACGTGCAGCTTCTTCCCGTCCTTCAGCCTCCAGTGGTGGTCCAGGACAGAGTGCACCCCGGTAGCCAACACCCTCACGGAGGGCTTCCTGGCCTCCAAAGGGAGAAGGGGTGTAGGAAGGGGTAGGGCTCGGTTCCAGCATTCAGGAGCAATAGCACTCCGGAGTCCCAGAATTCTCATTTGCCTTCTTCATGTTATTATACAGAGGGAATCGTCTTGGCACATTACTGAAATCCTAAGGCTAGGTAGGATTCTTAGGAAGAGCAGTAGACAGCTTTGACAGAGCAGAGTGCCAGTTCTGATCCTATCTGTGTGACTCTGAGCAAAGTCTCTTCTCTGGGGCTCATTTTCTTCATCCTATTCTCTAATACTATCTCATATTCTCAAAATCGTCCAAATAGCTCTGCTTTACTTCCCCCTCCCCCGAGGAGAAACGGAGGCCCGGAGACTGGGTACTTTGCTCAAGATGTGACATTTCTCCTTGAGGGGAAACTAGACAGGAACCTAGAATCCGGGAAGCCCGTTTGCGGCTTTAATGAAGTAGAAGGTGCTACAAGAAGTGGCTGCCTTCAGAGTCTGACCCTGAAGGGGCCCAGAGTTTGACCTCTTCTGTAATCTTAGTCTGAGAAAAGAGCAGTGCTAACATGCAGAAACAAGGGGCTAAAATACAGCTCCTCCGGTACCCAGGGGGGCCTTGCTCAAATGTTTATTTATTTTGCATAAAACCAGGTTCTTAACCAAATACGGGTTGACAGCCTTATCAGTCTGACTTCTTGTAAACTCCTCTGGTCAAAGCCTCCACCGTCAAAGAACTATGGGCAAAAGCGGTACAGGGAGTTTTCAAATGATCCCTGTGGCTTGTTGATTCATGGGCATTCCAGTCTTAAGCCCTCCACTGTGAGCCCTTGAGGTGGCGGCGACTGACTGCCCTCAACCTTCGTGCCCTCGGTAAATGATTCTCAAATTGGATTTGATTGCTAATAATGATTGTTGCCAGGACTAGAACTTGATCTACTAGAAAATCCTTAGAGGAAACTCAGAATATCCACAATTAACATTTAAATGTGGTGATTATGGTCACTTTGTATTCACTTTTCTCAGCGGATTATATTGATTATGGAAAGACAAACAATAAATAATAATAATGTGCTGGGTAAATAAAATTCCAGCAGTAATAAAGCTGCTCCTTTAAGATTTCCAGACCCCCATCACTCCACTGGTGCGCTTTCTTCCCAATCAGCAGGAGGACCAAGCAGAAGCAGAAGGAGCCAGCAAGAGGCAGCACTTGGAACAGAAGTGCCTGCGGGAAGGAGAGAAGAGACAAGTGGTGCCTGCTGCTGCTTCGGAAAAGGGGCAGGGGCTTTCTCTTCTTGAGATCAAAACCAGGAGGGAAAGCTGGGCTGGGCAGAAGGAGCCCTCCTGAAACGGAGAGGAAGCTGAGAGAGGCAGCATGGTAGGGGCTGGCCAGCCTGCCCAGGCCCAGCACTCGCTCACTGTCAACATCAGCTCCCAGGCAGGGTAACAGCCTTGCCTTCGCCCTTTTCCCTTCCTCCTCCTTCTCCTCCTGCCCATCTCGGGCTCTGATGGGGCCCTAGAGCCTTAGAACTGAGCTCTTGAGTGGACCTTCAGATGTGCCTCTGAGCCAAGCTTCCTGCAGCAAGGGAGTGGAGGAAAAGGAAAGCAGGTTGCAGGAAGGGCAGGAGCTATAGGAAGTACAAAATCAGAGCCAAGGAACGGCTGCTGTCCTCCGGGTGGCTCAGCCATCTAGTCCCTCCAGTCCCATTGCTTTCCTCCCATTCCACTCCCCGGGGCACCTCAGCGAAGGTAGAAGATTCCTCTGGGCCAGGCTGTTGTCCCTCTCTGATATGGCAACACAGCTCCAAGTTGGGAGTTTGGCCCAACTTCCAGAAGTCACAGCCTCTCCCCTGGGGCCTTTCCCTGTCGGGTAGGCTTCTCCCATTCTCTCTGACTGGGCCCCCTCCACACCTCACCAATATCCCATATTCACAAACCCTGATGCAAAGAACCTCCTGGGAGGACCACTGGCACAAGAGAACAGAATCAAAACCGAAGACTTCATGACTCAAGGAGACTGGATGGGTCTTTATCTCTTGGGGTAAAACCAGAAATCATTTAAGAGGCTTGATTGTACAGAAATGCTGATTCTCCGGCTTTCTAAAGTGAGATTTTTGACTTGAATTACTTCTAAAGGAGTTTAATTTGGAGTCTCCAGGTACTAATCTTCATTTCAAAGAACTTGAAATCTTCCATTCTTAGAGCTGCAGTAAAGGCTAGATCACACGGGCTCTGATAGATAGTTTCTACCATTAAGATTAATTTAAGAAAGCATGTGATACATGTGTCATCCTGTCACACCTCAGATTTCCACTTAAAACATTAAGCATTTCTTTCTGACCTGGCTGAGTTACTCTCTGCGAAGAAAATCTGGTCCAGATAACAGCTCATCTGAGGAAGCGTGGACTCCATTTTGGGAAGCATCACCTTCCACTCCTGTGGCTGGTGCATTTCAACCCTTCTTAACTTCAGAATCTCTGTGCCTGTTCCAAGGCAGAGCCCCCTACCCCACCAAAACTGTAAGCCTCGTGACAGGAGGACCTAGGTCCGTGTCATCAAAGCCGAGCACAGGATCCGAGAGGTAGCAAGTCCCTTCAGGGTCAAGCCCACCAGTCTCCCTGAAGGTGGTGATCCCAGGAGGTGATCTGAAATTAGATCAGGACAATTCTCTGAACTTCTGGTTCTACCCTTTGGTCCTGTGGATCTCGATCTGGTGTCAAAATTTCAAGTCCCTGCTCTTGGGCTTTCTGATGGTCATAGACAATGACCCCATTTCAGAGATTTTCCTGTGTTCCCGGCTCTTGGTTCCTACTGAGTCTTAAATATCAAATACCACATAAATTTACATCAATCACTGCTTAATTAGGTGTACAGTACTGACGAAGATGTTGTTATGATTTTCTGTGGGATATTCCTGTGACTCCTCATACATATTTAACCTAAGAATAAAGAGATGATGTCGATTGAGCCTTTATTAAACGCCAGGAGCTGTGCTGAGCATTTTACTTACGTTATTTTGTTTACTCCTGCATCCTGATTCTCTGAGGTAGGCACTGCTATTATCTACTACATATCTGGTGAGAGGAAACTGAGGCTCTCAGAGCCTGGGGACTTGCCCAGAGTCACAGAGCTCATAAGTACCATAGTCAGGCTTTGTCCCCACGTTTCTTTGTTATCAATGCTCAGGTCCTCATCCATGCTTACCACATTACTATTTACAGTCCTGGGGCCCCTCCCAGCAACTCTGACACCCTGGGACTTTGGGACTGCAGCGGCATCAGTTAACTGTTGGATTAAAAAAAAATTCTCATGATGCAATTTCCCTCATCTCAACTGTGGCTGAATGGGGGAGAGGCAGTTTGCTGAGCCATGCCCTCATATGAAAGAAAGTCAGTCAGGCAAGAGGAAGAAAGAAGACGGTGGAGC